CCGTCATTGTTGTTTGGCGGATCCGGGCTGGGGATTCGAACCCGCCACCTTAGGTGTACGTGGCTGGCGCCCTAGCCGGTTGAGCCATAGGCGCCGAGCCAAATTATTTGTTGAAAAGACTATCCCTGTATATAAAACCAGCATACTGCACCCCATAATTGCATTAATGTACATGCTATGATTTAATTAAAAAGAAAATAAATAAAAGGATATCCTTTTTGGGGAAGCGCCTATGGCTCAGTGGGTAGGGCGCCGGCCCCATATACCTGAGAGTGGTGGGTTCAAACCCAGCCCAGCCAAACTTCAACAACAACAAAAAGAAAATAGCTGGGCGTTTTGGCGGGCGCCTATAGTCCCAGCTACTGGGGAGGCTGAGGCAAGAGAATTGCTTAAGCCCAGGAGTTGGAGGTTGCTGTGAGCTATTGAGCCCATAGCATTCTATTGATGGAGATAAAGTGAGACTCTGTTTCAAAAAAAAAAAAAAAAAAAAAAAGACTATTCTTTCCGCATTTAAAATGTACTAGCAACATTGTAAAACAAACAAAACAATTGTCTGTAAGCCAAACAGTTTTATAATTGAATTCGCATTTTCTATTGCATTGATTCTTATCCATCTCTACTGTCTTGACTGCTGTAAATTTATGTTTCAAAATAAGAAAATGTTGAATATTCTGACTCAACACTTCCAAATATGGTTCTTTATGTCTCTAAATAAAGATTGATTTTCAGTTTCTGCCTGGAGATTGTGGAAGATGTGGCATTAAATACATACATTAATTGAGGGAGAAAGACATAGGAACAATACTGGTGTTTTCTATACATCAGTGTTTCTCAACCAGGGTGGTCTGCCCTTCAAGTGAAATTTGGTAGTAAATATTTAGAAACATCCTTGTTTGTCAAAACAAGAGCACATAAAGCATAGATAATGCTAAGCATATTACAACGCCTAGGACAATACCCACAATAAAGAATTATCAGACCATTTGCCAAACAATTTTGAGGTTGAGAACCTGGAATATCTCTTATTTAAGATCTTTATTTCCCCAACAAAGTTTTGGTTTTGGCTCGGCGCCCATAGCTCAACC